CCCCCCCCCCCAGGGCGATGCCACTGACTGAAGTGTCTTTAGGCCATTCCCAAAGGGGGGACATTTCTCGTTCTAGTGCACAGTAGAATTGTAAATTGGCTGATCCAACAGTGTCATGCTCATAACTGTGCCTGAACTACAACAGGGAACTGCTGCCTTAAGCTTTTTCTTTCCTAATCCTTACTATCGTCATTTTTCTCTACTTCTTTTGTATGTTTGTGGGCACACTCTTGTGACCCGCTATTTCCGGGGTGCCTTGATAATCGAAGCAGACTTTGTGCTGTTGAAGCTAGAGAGGTGAGACGAGTAAGTCTGATTCCCTGTAAGGAATTCTCTGTTGACATCCACCCCTTGGCGCTCATATTATGACCGTATGCAGTTGCGAGCGCCGTAAAACCTCTACTAAAACAAAACACTCTAACGCACGCAATGGCGTGGTTTCCACTCTTTGCTCTCTCTATAGATATTATATAGTTATATACTTCTCTGCCATGGAACGGTTCTCAACATGGGTGGTACACAACACAATTCTCCCCGCATTACACCACAGCCTTACCAGCGGAATTAACGACAGAATTCTACAACCTATAGACAGTAAATCTTCCACTTTTCACTCGTTTGTAAAAGCCGCTTTGCTTTAAAAGCGATAGGGTTACTTCCGAAAACGATAGATCTTGCCCTCACTACGCCATTGTTTTCAGTCTTCAATTCCTCACAGGTCACGTGGTACAGTGCCCGTTCTATCAGTGTAGAATTCGGTGTCCTTAACTCGCTCTCCGTTTTTATTCGAACAGTTAAAAAATGGCAGAAGTAGGGTGCCGAAACTGGTAAATGATCATTCACATCTCTGAGCATTGTGTGAGTGTGTGTGTGTGTGTGTGTGTGTGTGTGTGTGTGTGTGTGTGTGTGTGTGTTCGTGTTCTTTTGGAGTACAATGTTATGTAATCCTTGCTCACCATGGGAGGTAGGAATAGGACTTCAAACAGGGTAGATCTATATAGTTTTCATTTTATGTTGGATATCAATTGAAGGTCACAATGGACAAACGATCACACTTTTTCACTTTTGAGTAAACACTACTTTAGGATTTAAAACTCTAAAGTAAAGTAAACATTGATATCAACTGGTTGAAGCTGGTTTATATTGGAACTTTAAACATATTCTGATGATAGTTTAATGAATATGATGATTGAATGGCCATAGCTCCATTTAGCCTTATCGATACCCACAGGAGGCGAGTTTATGATCAGCTTTCCGGACTGGTAACTTATTTGTGAGGCAGTGTGGTGAAATCAGGCGCTCGTCAAAATAATGAAAGTCAAGAAATTGGCACTTTCCCGAATTTTTGCGAATTTTTTGCGAATTTTTGTTATTTCGGTTCAACATCTTTCATGCCCATTAAAGAGCACATTTCTGTGTGAATTTTACTGAAAAACGTTGATTAAAGGCTGAACAAAAGTTAATTTTCAGTTCCCACGGACTCTCAAGCTAAAGAAATAACTCAACTTTGGCGGCCATTTTCTCGCTAATTTTATCTCTGGAACCAGATGACCCTCGCCTCCTTCAATCACACATATCTCGACACTTCTATTCAACATGGATGGATATTTTCACCCAATACAAGAAAAATGGACAGGCTTTAAGATGATACCATCAACACCGTATGGCCACAAATTGACAAGAGCCCGATTCCACCACGTCGTGCCACATTTTATGACCGGGGTGAATTCGAGATCCCCCCCCCCCCCCAATGGGCCTGTGAAAGAGGGCAAAAGACCAGTCTCGCTATTGTCCGCTGCGTCTGTTTTCGTAAATAATAATAATAATAATAATAATAATAATAATAATAATAATAAATAATAATAATAATTGCATTTATGTAGCGCATATCCATGCTTAAGAGCATGCTCTATGCGCTTTACAACTATTATTACCACTGCAGACCCTCTAAGAACACTCGGAAACATTCTCCGCTTCCGAGGAAGCATACAGAGCAAGCTGCGGATTTCACGCGCTCAAACACTATCAAACTGACAAGATCGTTCACTGTCTATAGCCGGGTACCCATTTCCACCTGGGTGGAGTGAGGAAAATTTGTGCAAAGTGCCTTTCCCAAGGACACAACGTTGGACCCCTGACGGGATTCGAACCCTCGACCTTACGGTTGCGAGTCCGAGAGCCTAATCACTAGGCCACCGACGCCATATACATACTTCCCTCCCAATTTCGTCAATTTATTAACCTTATTAAGAACTGTTCGACCAAGCCGTATCCTATAATCCTGAACAAAGTAAATTTGTGTTAGTTGTCAATTTGTATGCACACGCCATACTCAGGGACGCAGCAAGCCGGAAATCCTTATCAGTATGTTGTTGACAAGTTATCGCTGTCGTTGTCTCTCCACCCCCTCCCTCCTAAACCCTCATCTCTCTCTCTCTCTCTCTCTCTCTCTCTCTCTCTCTCTCTCTCTCTCTCTACCTCTCTCTACCTCTTTCTGTCTCTGTGTCTCGGTCTCATTTTGCTGACTCTTTCTCCCCCCTCTCTCTCTCTCTACCTCTCTCTACCTCTTTCTGTCTCTGTGTCTCGGTCTCATTTTGCTGACTCTTTCTCCCCCCTCTCTCTCTCTCTACCTCTCTCTACCTCTTTCTGTCTCTGTGTCTCGGTCTCATTTTGCTGACTCTTTCTCCCCCCTCTCTCTCTCTCTCCCTCTCTCTCCCCCTCCCTCTCTCTCTCTCTCTTTTCTCTCTCTCTCTCTTTCTCTCTCTCTGTCTGTTTGTCTGTTTATCTGTCTGTCTCTACCTCTCTCTCTCTCTCTCTCTCTCTCTTTCTCTCTCTCTC